CTATGGATGTTGTTTCTTTGCGTATGTAGAATGGAGTTAAGTTAAACATCGACTATATGCGGGACTAAAAGGATTTATTTTGTAATATGAATTTAATGTAGTTGGGCAATTCAAATGCAGAATCTGGAATATATGTAATTATGTTTTTGTACAATATTTCACTATAAAAGGAAATATCTACAAGTAAATCGACTTTATTTTTCCATTAATAATTCATTTAGTGTTCCTCGAAAAAATATTGACTACAACAATTCCATTCATATAGACACTCTTGGGCTGCTGGGAGGTCTCTCGTTTAGTGCTCGCCTTACCATTTTCATTGACTGTTCTAAAATAGGTAGTGCTGCAGGCAGTGAAGCTTTATTAAAGGTTTTTTGATCGTTGCATTGTTTTTCAGGCAGAGATAATCGCTATTAGGGAAGTTATCGTTTGTCTGGAAGTCGATAATATATTTATGAGAATATATACATACTTTCAGACAGTCACGTTGGCTTAAATTCTTTGAGTTCAGTCCAGTTCATATCTAGGACGATTTTATATGGAACGTAGGGATATTTTCTGCCATTGCAGACAAACGAGCTGGCCAAAGGGGGTGCTTCAGATAATCACTCGGAACAGCTAATCAATCAATCAATATGTAGATTTCTGTATGTAAGTTGGTTTTATTACACTATTAAAATTTAGTATTGTCATTAAGATACCTACTAAATATAGAGGGCTTTGTTATTATTAATGATTGAGTTTTCCAATATATCAAAAGAAGCTTTCTTTTCTTATATCTTCTTGTCACGTTACAGAAGAAAATTGCAGATTTAGATGAAGTGAATTTTTAAATGAGTAATGCGTATCAGTAGAGTTCAATTGTTTCTGACACAGTTTCTTCGTTTAAAAGAGCAAATCTGAACAGAAATGCAATTAAAGAAATTAAATTTGAAATAATAAAAACGCAATAAGGACTTTTTGAATTATTGTCTTCATGCATTTGTCATGCATGTCAAACAGACGGAAGAAATCACTTAAAATTTCTTTCCTTATTCATGTCCTTCTATTGTTTATTAAACAAAATAGGGCATAATTAAAATTAAAAATTTCAAATCAGATAAAACTTTTTCACTGGCATAGAATCTTTTCAGAGGTATAGAATCTTTATTGCTTTAAAGGCAATAATAATACAAATGCCAGAGAGAAATTGTGAAAAAGATTCTACAAATTTAAACAAATTGAATTGTTGTTTCGATGATTTGAACTCTCAAAAGCATATCCTTCTAAATAAAATATCCTTTGATTGTATTACAAACAATTTTATATATTCTTATAATTTTCCGAATTAAATTTCATCTACCACAATCTTTACAAAGTACACAAAATCTGCACAGTATTCATGCCTCTTCCACGCTACGGCAGAAAGGATCCTCAAATATTTGCGTAGAAAATCAGTGAAGCTCAAAATTTAACGACGCCATAAACAGAAAACAAATCCAACACTAAAAACTTAGTCAAAAGTGCGAGCAAATCGAAGTCCTTGTAGCCACGTTCTCGGTCTCTGTAAATTGTCGTAATGGCGTGGTAAAGGTTTTAAGGACCTCAGCACACCAAAGTAGATGTACGGTTGTTTTGAATAAAAACTGTGACTGTCAGCAAATGCATGAACTCATTGGAACATACATCATCAGGTTGGAGTTTCCACATGTTGCGAATGACTTTTATGCTGATTACGCACAAATAATAAATGTCTAAAAATTCCTTTGCACCCAAATTCAAGCGGCAGCAGCAAAAGGACGTCTAACCAAAATAAACAGAATAAACAGAATAAAATAAAATACTTAGAAAAACCTAATAAACTGGAAACGGCATACATTTAAATAAATTTTTTTAAATATTATTTCTATTGCTTTGCTTAGCTTTAAGTTTTAAATAAGAAATGAACCAAAATATTGAATCCACGTGAAATTTGTTCAACGACGAATTCAAATTCTTCAGAAACTTTTTCAAAATGAAAACAAACTTTTTTCTCAGTCTTTCTGGGGTTTCCAAACTTTGCACTTTAAAATTTTTATTGACATAAAACATTTCAAAGGATATTTTTGTTGCGCATTCTGACTCGTATAAGACAAGGAACGGCGTTCACTGCAAGCTCCATAAGCAGCGCAGAGTGAACTTAATTTTTAACACTCGAGAATTTTAGAAGGAAGAAGAGTTGAAAACTTAAGACAAATTTACTTAAACAAGGACTTACAAGGACTCAGCGAATGACAGAAAACCAAAACTGTGTTATTTAAATATTTTCAAATTTTTGGAATGTCGTATTAAGCGTTGTTTATAAATTCAGTTCTTTTTAATTTGATTAAGGAATTGATAGAGGAAACATGTAAGACAAATTTGAGATTTTGAAATTCAATCAAATCAAATCTGTCGCAGCTGCGGGGAAGACGATGAGAGTGCCTCTCATCTACTCTGTTTTTGCAAAGCTCATGCACGGCGGCGAACTAATACTCTTATTTTATGCTTTGTCAGAGGTTCTAGGTGGTTTTCAACTATGAGTTTTTCCTATATATGTACACAATGGGTCAATAGGCCAAAGTGGATACACTAGGGATCGCCGGTATAACGTAACCTAACCTAAATATATAGTATGTAAAAACTTAAATCAACAAAGACGTCGGTAGTTTAAGGATGGACAAACAATAGATTTTAGGTAATATGTTAAAATTTACAAAACAATTCACCGAATGAATAAGATCGGTGAAATAAACAAATAATAATAGTTTTTTATATGAAGTATTAGAGTAATATCAGCTCTAAAAATATGTCATACGGATAATTAATATCCTTACCAAAATCATAGGTAAACCTTAACTAAGTTATATAATAAATAGTCTCCAGCTTGAAGTATCAGCAGGGAAGAGACTCCCAACAAATTCAGAGCTTTGCTTTAAATGTCAGATAAATGTGCCGGGTTATTAAAATAGAAAAGATCTTCATAATATGGAGTAATATGGACTTACTTATTCATAACTAAAAATTAGGGATCTTAAAAGAGGTAGTGAAGAGAAGAATATAGGTAATGCTTGCACACAACGACGAATCTCTTTGTTTATTGGCAGGGAAACAGGTTGCGGCTTAGTTTCGGTTTATGAATGTAACAATTCAAATTTATCGCAACGACGGCCAGGCTTTGGTACTAGATGAAGAGGATGACAAATACAGTGCGCACAACCATGATGAAAAGTGCTGTTAACATAGCTGTTAACACGAATTGAATTTTTTTTCGATGAAGTCAGATTCCTATGAAACTGAAATACTCACAGCCTACGTATTACCTCTGGCAGCCAATATCCTTAACATGACCGTTACTTGATAAGGAAATATCAAAGGCCTTCGTCAGCCTATAAAGTAAAGACATTTCTAATATGATTGTTTGTATAACCGGTCACTATTGCTATGGCTACTTGGAAATGGTACGCCTACACTGGGAATTATTTTCAATAAGTATTGCAGAAGTTGTAAAGATGAAGAAGCATTCGAAATCATGAAACATTTCTTTTGTAACTGTTCGGCTCTCAATGGTTCCATAGGGTAGGTCTTCTATTCAGCAGTAGTATCATAATAGACATACGATGTCTAAATGAATGGGTTAACTAGATCGACTGCCATATTAATGATTGTTATTAGGATCTGCTGACAGATCTTAATAACTGTCGTATTAGATAAGTATTTTATGTTTTTTACTTTTAGGCTACTCATAGAGGGATAAGTTTAGCCAAATATTGTTATAAATAAAATAACAAATTGGAATATATTATTTTACAAACTACATTGTTATTTATATTTACAACAGTAAAGTCGGATGGAAGGACTTACTTTCTACATTGATATGCATATTCAGTTGGATTATATTATTATTATATTAACATATTTTTTGCCTATATTTAAATTTATATTTAAAAAAATATAGTAATTAAATTAAATAACAACAAATTCTTGATTTGATATATTGAACAAACATTTGAATATATATTTTATATTAACAATTTTAATTTATTTAAACATTTTAATACATAAAAAGGCGTTTTTATTACTAATACTACGGTTTTTTGTTAGGTGAGTAAGAAATTATATGTACTATAATTAACTTTTCATGTAAACTGTACTCATATGTGTATTAAAATAAAATTATGTGCTTAATATAATTATGTGCTTAATCATAATATAATCATTTATTATATTAAATTATATTTAAATAATGTAATTCTATAAATTATATTATGATGCCTTGAATTCTGTCGTGTATTATGTGTTTTATTTATGTATGTATCTATAGACTTTTTTGTTTAGACTTTTATGTATATAGGTATGATATAATCAATTTCTTAACTAATAATACAAATTTGATAGTTAGTGCACATATGTATGTGTTTATTAATATAAATAACGCATAAATGATGAAAAAAATTGTAACAATGTTTTTAACATTTTAGTTATTTTACTGGGAATTTGTACAAATTACACTAATTAAACAATAAATAAATCGATTAAAGAAAGTTACTAATTACTTTTCAAATTCAAATACTTTAACATATCGCTACAAATACGAGTACATAAAAATTAAATGAAGTTTTTTTCAGTGTAAGAAGTTTGAGTGAATGCTTGCCAGATTGCGCCAATTACAAGAAAAGATTTTTACACAAAAAATAGTAATAAATTTTAGAGTATTTAACTACTTGATGCTACACGATTAGAGATTAAAAAGGATGTTAAAGGACAAAATGAAACTACAGTGGACGCCACATGTGATGTTTTTTTCTACGGCAGAATTAATTTTAAAAAATTTTTTTTGTTTTGTAATTAAAAAAGTTATGTGAATGAATTTAAGTTTCGGTTTTGTTTGATGTTAGCTACTTTAATGGTGAATTTATTGTTCTTTATATATTTTTTATTTCGAAATAAAACTCATTTCACTAATAAGTGGTTAATTGCAATGAAAGGAAGAACGGACTTACCTTTTGTGGTCTTAAAGCCTTGATTGATAGCGCGGGTAGTCCTCACAGCGGCTCTGTAAATGCGCCAGTAGAAGTAGAGCATCACAAACATCGGTATGTAAAAGGAGCCGAGTGCAGAGTAGACCACATAACCACGATCATTTGTTAGTTCACATTTCCAAGGGCATGGCGGCGGTGGTGAATATGTTTTATAGGTAATAGTGCTTCTCATGTCATCGCCATTGTCAAAATCAGTTTGTGCGGTTGAATCAGCATTTACAGTTGCTGGGTTTGTTGTGGAATTTATGGCTGCAATGGTCGCTGCAGCTATGCTTTCGTTTTCTAAAGACGAAAATGCGGGATCATAGGGATTATATGGATTAAATGCTGGTGCTGCTGCTGCTGCCGCTGCTGCTGTTATGGTTGTAGATTGTAAGTATTTCTGTTGTTGCTGCTGTACATTATTTGTTGCTGTGCTTGTTGTTGTTTTAGTAGTTGTAACAGCATAATAAAGCGTATTGTTTCCCTGTGTATATGTAGCAAGTATTGGCTGTGATGGCTGAAAATAAATTGAACAATTAGTTTAGTTTATTGAAGATATAAAATAATTGAAAAGTAAATAATCATATCATTTTAAATTCAATAAAAATAATAACAATGAATTAGCAAAAAGGGTTTTTTTGTTTTTATGTTTCAATTAAATTAAAAAGAATAAATAAAGTTCTTAGCTTAAGTGGCACTTCATAAAAAACTTATTAGTCGACTGCATAAAAGTATGCTACAAAATTTCTTTAGAAATTTATTGGTACTGTTTGGAAATAAAATAGCAACTGTGTGTCTGTCAGCTTAATTCATACCTACCGCTCCCATTGAAGATATTCTATGTTAAAATATGCCACACTTACACCAACACGTAACTTTCTTAGTTCCGTATGGCATTACGTACTCATTTTAATGTTATAAAAAGCATAAGGGCGGAACTAACACATTTTTACGTCTATAGCTGCTTTATTAAAATTCGATTTGTATGCAAGCGGCTTTTATTGATTTCTGCAGCGACCTGATTTCAATACTTTGCATTGCGAGTGATTTACATTTTTTTATACTTACCCTTCTCTTTTATATCGATAATATAAATAAATTCTTTTAATATATTTTGATATAAAATACAGTGTTTATTTGTGTATTGCTCAACACAAATCTGCTGCTTGCAACAAACTCACTGAACTCAACTCTCAGAACATTGTTGTGCTTTAAATAAACTGTTGCACTGCACAGCAGCATCGTTAATGTTGCTATATTAAATTGCTATATATTTACCAACTACACTTCCTCCCCATCCTCCTTCCCCTCCTCCTACAGAATATTTTTACATTTTGCTATCTTGTATTTGACATTGAATACCATTTTTGTGATGATTTTCTATTTAGTTTGCAATGTGCTTGCGCCACATATGTATACATTATCATTTTTTATCATTTCTCTGTCGTAAATTTTACAATATTGACTTTGTAAAGCATCACAGACATTGAATGTACCAGAATTCAATAAAAACCTATTTAAGTGAAAAGTTAGAAAATTAGGAACAAAAAGTAAATATTGGAAAAATCTACACTTAATCCACAATTTTAATGCTGATTCTGCTTCCGGCTATCAGCATTTACACAAACGCATCAGCAGCAACAACAACAACAACAACAACAGTAGAAACAACAGCGACAGTTGAATAAAAATCTTTTGACCTTTGCTGTCAAAGTGCTTAGAACGTTTTGTTTGCCAATATTCTCATTCAATTCATATACTCTAACTAAGCAGACATTTTTAACATTTTTTAGCATTTTTTAACATTTTTTAACATTATTTAACATTTTTTAACATTCTTTCTTATTTAACATTCTTTAATATTATTTAACATTAACATTTTGTGTGAAATATTTTTTCAATATCGTTTTTCGTTAGCTGTTATAGGTGAGATGGTATGTAGTGTGGGGTTTAAATTCAAAAAACTTATTCCAACAATATTGCTGTCTCATTCGGTGCATATTTCGAACACAAGGTTTAGGAATAATTACCGCTATATATGCAATAAAAAAATTATAATTAAAGTATTGGGTTAATTAATGACAAAGTCAAGACTATTTTAAGAGAGACTGAGCGCTTTATTTACAAGATATTTTAATAAAAAAAGAAACCATAACCTATGGATAAGAGGATGTATTAGAATTTATAGCAATAAAAAGGTAATTTGAGTAACCATATTGTAAAAAAGCTACCACTTCCCTTGAAAGTATTCAATGTGGTAGGTTAAGTTAAGTTGAAGTGAAGGTCTTGTGTCTAAACTCGCAAATAATGGTTCATTGTGATACCATGGATTACCGTTGTTCATACGTAGGCTAAAATTGAACTAACCTGTAAAGCCTATAAACTTGGTCAAATCCCGATTCTTCTCTTCTTGACACCTTCGTCAGTTTGATAAAACAAAGAGCAGCGCAGATTTTGTATTTCTTCCTAGCCAACGATGAACACAGATATTTGAGCTACAACACAGTGTCGTCCTCATTCGAGAACCACAATCACGATAAAAATTATTACACGGTAGACACAGTCTCATAGCTTATCTTTCTTGTACGCAGTGACTCGTCAGTAGTGATACCGTAGTGCTCAGCATGTTAATCAGTAACTCAGTTTAAAAAGCTGTCTGGTATGTTTCTTTTGTCCAGTTTGGATTAGATCGATCCTCAGATCTGACAAAAAGGTTCATATACCCAAGTTTGTGTAGCTATGCTCACGAATTTTTGTTTGATTGTCAGCTGGTATATGTAGTGAAAACTAACTTGTACAGTGAGTCATTCCTAAAATATTCGTAATTTCTCATCCAGAGTTTTAAATGCTATAAGTGTTAATTAAGTATTTAGCAAAACTTTGAGAAACGGTTTATGTAATATTGCCGTTGCTATAGTCCAAGGCATTAAACCTGTGTAAACTTTTAGAATGATTGTCACATTCAGCCTTGATTATACATCGGTTTTTATTGAATTCGTAATTTAAGTAACAACACTATATACTGTCTATTTATTGAAAATAATAGACATCGAGTATTTTCGAATGTATGTCTTAACATAATCCTTACATTACTAAGAGGGTTAGTGAGTTATGTGTTGCAGTTGTTTTCTTATGTCCACATGAGCAAGGACAACTGCTCTGATTGGTTTTTGTCTGCTTTCTTCCTTTGCTGTTGATTTTGTTGTTGTGATTATTGCAGAAGCATTTGCAGTTGCAACATTGACGTTTATTTGTTGCATTGTATTTGTTGCTTGAATGATGTTAGGAATGCAAATATTTTACTATAATTTAATTTACAAGAAAATCAGTTTCAGTAGTACAAAGAATTGTCTGTAATAAATTGATTGAATTTGTATGTGAATTGTGAAAACAATTGCAAAACTTGATGCTTTGAATTTATCTAAGTAAAAAACTTTATTTGTTAAATTGTTTAACATATCGAATATTTCTAAATATACATATGCATAATAACTTGAATCCTTCACTAGTAACATTAATATACAATTCGTACTCACATATAATAAATTTTCGTTTTAATCTTGATAAAAATTAAGGAGATTTTATAAAAAGATTTTTACAGGAGATTTTATAGAAAAAAAGAAATAAATAAATCAATCTCTATATAATCAGCTTAAAGTGAAATGAATTGCCAAATATTTGATGCCCTATTCTAATTAACAATCATTTCAAAAATATAAATCTCAATCAAAACAAAACGAAACACAGCCAAGCTGTCAATATTTATGATTATGTATGAAAATCCCTTAAATATCCTGGCGTATTTGGATAAGCCTAAGCCCATGAAACCGAAAGTTGGGAGCAAAAAGTAATAACTTACAACTTTTTTACGACACACGTGCTGAACTTCCGGTGCTCCATTTCGAACCATTAATTCGGGCTCATTTTGTGGTATTTTGTGCAATTTATTGACTTTTGCAAATATTAAATAAAAATATTTTTATGTTTTTAAATCTATTTGTGGCACTAGAATTAATACAGAAATATATTTCACCGCAATATTTTGGTAATTGCGCCAACAACCAGCCAACAACAACAAGACGAAACAAATATCGCCGTAAAGTAGGCCAAAGGAAATGTAAACAAAAGCAACGCTTTCGGTTTCGGTACGGTTGTCGAGGTGGCGTCTGTTGACATCTAAAATTCAGTAAATTTATGGCTCCGTATTTATTAAGTTTTTTTTTATCGGTACAAAAAAAGAGAAACTGGTACAGAAGAAGTCATTGCCAGATTCGGGGTCATTGTTTTCGCATTTGTTTGTTTGCGCATGGATTTCCAGCGACTTAACTGACCATTGTAATGCGATTAAAATTGGGTTTGACCTGCAGGATTGTAGCTCGAAATGGTAACAAAATACTTTGTGACCGTCACTAAAGTGTGATATACATAAATGTATATAAATAAAAATGTATTTAAATTTATGTGCAAAAAATCAGCTCAAACAAGTTAAGGATAAACCAAGCCACTGTGGTGCACACTAAATTTCCATTTGATAACAGAAATGTGTTTAAGCCAACAACTGCAGCAGGTCCTTTTGATAATTTTATTTTTGTTTGCACATGTGGCACATCCTTTCGGTGGACGCTAAGCCGAGGCAGTGGTTAGGTTGTGCATAGAAACTGCTGACAACTTAATAATATTGCTCAAACACAAAATTTCGTATTCATATCCTGCACATTAAGCAACTTTATACTCGTGCAATACACAAAAAACTGATTTCACGTTAATTTTGGCACAACTTTGTGGATATGCTACGGTGTGCAGTCATATGGAATAAGTAGTAAATTCTGTAGTTTGCTTCCGAAGATAGTAAATTTCCTGGTTTATTGTTGGCAACCCTCAAAATGGTGTCAATAGCAGTTTTAATTCAGAGACGAAGGTATATTTCTCTTTAAAAAGCAAAAAAATAAAAGCAAATTATTTTACACACCATTCGAATTGTTGTTAAATTTACTGAAAAAATTGATATTATTTGGTTCAGAAAACATATAAAATAAAATTATACTGAACACAATTGCAATGCCCAAAACTATTAAATTAAATCGATGTCTGGTTACGAAAGTACGTCTAACATTACGAGTACATGACGACGCATCGCTAAAGGAATTTCACAGATACATTTTCTTGATAGATACTAAATGTGGCGTGCATTAAAAAATGTGACCGTATGAAATGTTGATTGGTTCGTTGGTTCATTGGTTCGTTTGTGCCTTTGTACGTTATTGGGCCAAAAGTGCTTTTCAATAATGCCGTTTACTTAGAGTGAAAATGTCAAAAATCTACTGCTTTACAAATTGAAGTGATGAAAAATGACTTTTCACAAAACCAAACATGAGAGCACATACAGACCGAATGGTGACAAAAGAAAAACTTACTGAAAGTAAGAACGACAAACAGAAATGCTTTCATAGCCTAAAAACACACTTCCTTTCCTTGCCTTTCCTTTCCTTCCCCTCCCTTCCTATTATTTCCTATCATTTTTCCAACTTTGGTTTGCTTTCGCTGGCGAACTGGCGAACCAAACGCTTTTAAGTTATTACGGCCATATATTAGAGGCACACTCACACACACACACACACACACAGGCACACCACACACACTTGAGACACATATACATGCATACGATGTGAAATAGAAATTCTTTTCATTTTGTTGACTTTAATGCAAAGAGAAATGAATTAAGAAGGACTATAGGACTACAGGACTACATAGCAGAGACATTGTGTTGTACATATAAAATGACACCAAAATTATGCTTAAAGGATTCTGCACAATTGCGCCGGAAAAGCGGAAAAGCGGAAAAGCAGAAAAACAGATGCAGACATGAGAAATTAGTGCTCATTTGTGTGTGTGAGCGAGCAAGCGAGCCATGCACAGTTAAATGATTATTTATGTGTAAAAAGGATATTTTTTTAAATCTGTGTTTATATGCTAATAAATAGAACACATAATAGCAAATAGCAAATAAAACGAGAAAGTAGGAAAGATTTCAATTTCTCATTTCATCGCTCATTTCCAAATTTTTGTTCAGGATATTTTGGACGTGCTTTGCAATAGAAAAAGCAGTTTTTGTTAAACAAATGTCAAAAGAATTAAGAAAAATACTCATTTTATATTCGCTACGTTCCAAGGATAATGATTAAATAACATTTATCATCTGTAAAACTTATCTATTTGAAAAGTTTGTGCAAATGTATCATCTTGACGAGCTAAAAAATTGATGATAATGCAATTAAAGATATATAAAA